TCCAGGAGGCATTGACTTTGGTAGAGGGCAGGATTACTATTATTGATAACCTCCGAATGCCGGCAGCTAGGTCGATTTCGGCCGGACACCGATGGTGCGGGCTTTGTTGGAGGGGGAGGCGGTGGATCTAAGGGGATGAAAGACCCGTCCATCCAGAGAGTTCTACTTACTTGATGATGTCCAGGATAATAGTCTAATAGTCTCATGCACTGCGCAGGCACCAAACTACTAATATTTACAACAGCGCCACAATAAGTGTGGCATCCGACGAGCTTAATGCAAGAAACACGGAAAGCGGTGACAAATGAACTGCCAAAGGGGGAGTCCGAAAGCGCTAGGGGTATAAAATGGCACAATGACGAAGTGCGATTCAGCGGCCTTCAACTAATAGACTAATTATCGACACCGCAGAGCTCAACGCAAGAAATACGAAAAGGCTAGACTTTGGCAAAAGGAATGGTCACGGGGAAAATGATCGACACCGCAGAGCTCAACGCAAGAAATACGAAAAGGCTATGGCAAATGGAATGGTCACAGGGAAAAAGTGCCAAGCGGAATGCGAAAGACTTAAAAACGACACAAGTGGCCGGGGCGAAGTGCCGAGTGCCGAAGAGAGCCCACGATCGGCGTTTGTGGCGCCCTCACAGTCACGCGACAGGGAGACCTTCGTACGTACCAGTAAGTACATCCCACGCGTTCCCTCCAACAAATTCGGGTGGATATGATACATCATCGCGACGGGTTTCATTGGCATCAAGTCATAGCTTGCACGCTACATTGTGCATTTAACACGTTACACACACGGCATGGCAGAGCATGGGCACTACACGCACAGGTCATGATCCAGGATGTGGGCGTGGATTCAGGATTCTAAGAGAGGGGCACCGCCGTATACTTTTGTACGACGCCGTTCCCACGAGAATGACACACGGCGCCCCGCGTGGGTGGCAGCTCTGCAGTTCCACGTGCCAGGTGAAGCAGTGTGTGCTGCTGGGTTATGCTCAACAGAGAGGCAGAGCGTGGTTTGTTTCGCCGGAGACTGTAAGGGCCCAGCGGAAGCTTTCGTTAGATCCACCTGGGAGAATTAGTCTCAAGCGAGAAGCATGTCGGAGTTTGAGGCGGAGCGTGGGAACTCCACTGAACCAGAACACTTACAGGGGGTGGGCATGATGCCAGCAATACCACAGCCTGATGCTGGTGCTGCTACAGAGAGCGTGGGAGAGATAGAAGCGCAAGGTGAAGCACATGACGGAGGTGGGGCTGAGGGGAAGGGACAAGCAGCAGGAGACATTTCGAAGGAGGCGCCAACCGCTTCAGTGGAGACGGGGGGGCAAGAAGAAGAGCACACGACGTGTCTAACCGAGGGCCATGAATCTTGCTCTGGTGCCGCTGGCATGAAGGAGGGAGGAGAGGCACATGACCACCACCACGGCCACGGCTGCAGCCACGAAGGCCACGACCATGACCACGAGGTATGTTGCCTGTCGTTGCTCTAGTTTACGTACGTGGCAACATGAAAGCGATTGAAAGCTTTGTCTCCACCCCCCAGTGCTGGCTCTCTCGTATGGCGTCGCTGCACAGATAGATACATACAGCAGTAGCATAGCGCATGCTGTTCTGCCTCTCTGCGGTTCAAGTTCCGTCGCACACGAGGTTCTCACGGCGTACGACACACGCGCGCAGCCGCCCTTAGCTCACGATACGCCCCCGTAGAACTGGAGCAGAGCACAATCTTTGCGTTCACCCCCGTACGCGCATGCTCGGATGTGTAAGAATCGAGACAGGCTGCAGGGAGGGCGCAAGCTGCCGCCAATTCGCCGGTTGAACGTCAACGAACTGCTAACACGTGCATCCGTCGGTGTGTGCCTACATAGTCTACGCGCGAAGGCTGCGTGTTGAACGTAGTAGTAGAGGCGAGGGCTCCCTTCGTGATCGAGAGGTCGAATGCGGTACCAGGATCTCGCGTTTTGTGTTATGGTTCCGTCTTGTTGTAGTAATTGTCCGCACAACCGGTTTAGCTGCCGACAAAATCGACCCCACACCCTCCGCCACAGACGGTTACACGCTACCTGTGAAACAACGGGTAACGCTGATTATCGCGATAGACAATGATGCTGAGGAGTCCTTTTACGGTCGTTGTGACGCGGTCGCCGGCGAGAAAAGTAAATCTAGAACGTCTGAACCAACTCCCATCTGCGGAAGGTGTTGAGTACAATGTACTTGTTTCGCGTTGATCTGTACATATCAGCTTACAACACATGCCGCGTCTGACCCCTCTGCCGTTGACTCCCACCGTGACCCCAACACCCACTGTAGTTTTGACCTATCACACACACATCACACCATCGAACCTAGGCATGTCATGGAAAGACCAGCACCGCTTGTAGCATGAGAAAATATCAACAGACGTGAAGCACACGAATGACGCACGTACACGCTCGCGCGTGCTCGCGTTAGGTGGTACGCCTGCCTCCTCGTGTAGCCAACGTCAGAGTTCTGGTTCTTTTGGGGGAGGTAAAAATGCTGTGTGTGTGTGTGTGTGTCTATTTCTCATTAGCATCGACCGCGCTAGACAGCTGACCAATGAAAATACGTCAGTCACAGTGCGTTTTAAAACACAAAATGCTTCTAGAGGCCACCATCTGGGACCCTGGGACCGAGTGTCATGGGGAAGTCTACGCTACTCTCTGGATTCAAGACAGATACCGTAGCAATAACAATCCTGCACTTGTTTCACAGATACCATAGCAATAGCAGAACAAAACTGCACGTGTTTAACATATGTATCTGTGTGTGTCTTTATGATTGGCATCGACCGCGCTACTGCTGTGCCTGGGCGGCCAACGAGAAGGGTGTTAGTGTGGGTCGACCCTGATGGTCGCCTGTGTTTGCTTGGCGCCATTTGGGACTTCGGCGCAGCTTGGGACGAAACCCACAGCAACCCCCACATCGACCAGGCATACGTGTCCATTTTCTTTTCACCATGACAGTTATCTCACCAGCCCGATCTTTTTCCCAACTCTTGTTGATGTTGTACTCTACGATTGTGGTGGCTACGTGAAAGATGGTGGAGTCCCACGTGGGTACGCTGGAGCTAGTGAGGCCGGGAGATGTGGTGGAGCTGGTGGAAGGGATGCAAGATCTGTACATCATGGGCACGGTAGACGGGTTCCAGAAGGTCACCAAGATGGACGGGCTGCAAGACATGTCATCCCTCACGGTCAGTCGAGTCGAGTCGAGTGAGACAGAACGAATCAAACACAAATACGTTGCGTACAGAGAAGCGAAGCAAGACCCACATTATCGTTTTTTTTTTCTCACATTTGGTGTTGGACATGGGCAAAACCATTAGGGTACTGAGTCAGTAGTCTAATGGCTTTGCCTTTTTTCCACCAAAGTACGTCAACGCGGGTCCTGACTGAATATTCTGCTGGTCGGGCCTTTGTCTAGCACGGGCGGCGGTATGGGTGGCGTTCTGTTCTCTGGCTGTTCGTGTTGAGTTTTTGGGCGTGCAAGAGGACGGGGGGGG